CGTTTTGACATTGACAAGATAAATTACTGTCGATATGGCAGAACATTCATTTTGACTATCTAAGCTGGAATAGATTTTACGAATAAGAAACTTCAGCGTCGTCCGAAATCTTAAATAAACTCTCCTAACTTTACTTACCCATCAAAGGATGAGGAAACTATGAAGAAACACAATTACACATTTAATTTTTTTTTTTTCCAACCAAGGTAAACCTTGGATAACTGATCCCACGAATCCAGGGGCACTACTATAATTCATTTCTACTATATACTGTAACGTGGCCACAATATACATAATTTTTATTGTTATGTCATGAGCGGACTAATGGTAACATAGCAGATGTCTGTCTCATTTGGTTTATGAGCTATTATCCCATTTATGCGTATTGACCCATTGTTATGTTCACTCGGGCACGGAGCGGGCAAGCAGCACAGGAACCAGGGAGTCGGGTGAACATGGGATTTAATAAGGGTAAAGCACTCAGGACCATAGAACCACAACACAACGTTAATGACCGGACAAGGAAACATACTTCAACGTGGACTTAGATATACAGGACTAATTAACAGCAACTAGACACAGCTGGAAACACCGGGATTCCACACGAGATAAATGAGGGGGGCGTGGCACACGGGAGGATCAGACAAGCAGGGTGTGACACCCATTGCATATTATAATGATACAGTATAATAACTAATAACTATGACAGACCAAAAATCCACTGGGTGTGCATTGCCCCCAGAGTCCACTGATCGAAGCACACTTCATTGAACATGTCTGTCTCATTTGGTTATAGAAATATTAACCAATTTATGTATTGGCCCATCGCATATTATACGGATATAATATAATAATTAATAACTATTACAGGCAAAGATAACCTGAAAATCCAAGGGATGTGCAGTGTCCCCCAGAGTCCACTGATGAATGCACACTTTACTGGATACACATACCTTGCTTAGTTTAAAAGTTATTAATCCATTCATGTATTTCCCCATTGTGTATTAAATGGATACAATATAGTAATTAATAACTGTTACAGACAAAGATAACCTGAAAATCCAGTGAACTGTGACAGACAATGTACACTTCTTCGGTCTTCAGATTATGTATTTACATACATAATTATTTATTACTAAATTACTTTCTGTCCATTTATTGTTCATTGGAGGAAATTAAATGGCTACCACAGATCCAGGGGAGCTAATATAATTCATTCCCATGATATACTATATAATGGGCTCACAATATACATAATTTTTCTTGTTATGTCTCCATATGTTTCATTGGTTGTGTAAAACCAATAAAAGAATAGCCATACAGATTAAGTTAGGAAAGCTTATTTAGGATTTTGGAAAGTTAGGATGTACACAGCCCCATGAAGGATCAGACAAAATGTGGTTATAAATTGGAATTCAATCGACTAGGAGAGATTGATCTGCTGTGACTTTGGTTCAATGGAGTCTAGCTGCAGATCCACTGTGCGGCACATCCACTGACAGACAGGAAGTTCACTGTGGGCCCAGAAATGACATCACTCTAGATCCACTGTGAGGCACATCCACTGACAGACAGGAAGTTTACTGTGGGCCCAGAAATGACATCACTCTAGATCCACTGTGAGGTACATCCACTGACAGACAGGAAGTCCACTTTGGCCCAGAAATTACATCACTCTAGATCCACTGACAGACAGGAAGTCCACTGTGGGCCCAGAAATGACATCACTCTAGATCCACTGTGAGGCACATCCACTGACAGACAGGAAGTCCACTGTAGTGCCAATAGCATTTTTTTGTTTGTTCTATCATTTGAATGACATGTTTATAAATAATAATTTAAAGGACACTTTATAATTTAAACAATCATTTAAATTATATATTTTTTATTGAATATTGTCACAAAACACCCTTCATAGCACAACAAACTGGGGTTGGATACACCGTTTATGAATTTAATAAAATGTATTATCATTCTCCATGTAACTGCTGTCAATATGCAATGCTTGGTAATATTAGGCTATGTACTAAAGTAGAGTGAGGCTTAATTTATTAAAATTAAAAGAATAAGAGTTTAAATGCATTTGAGATAAATGTCTCCTGAAAATGAGTGACATAAGTTGAGTTACTGTCTGAAGTGGAGGAGTTTAAGTATCTTGGGGTCATATTCATAAGTGATGGAAGAATGGAGTGAGAGATCAACAAGCAGATCGGTGCTGCGTCAGCAGTCATGCAGACATTGTACTCTTCTGTAATGATAAAGACAGAGCTGAGCCGGAAGGCAAAGCTATTTGGGTAGTGACCGAAAAACTGGTATTGCGGATATAAGCGGCAAAAATGTTTCCTTCGGAAAGTGTCTGGGTTCAGCCTTAGATACAGGGTGAGAAGCTGCAGCATTTGGGAGGAGCTCAAAGTCGAGCCTCTGCTCCTCTGCATCTTAAGGAGCCACCCAGGGTGGCTCAGGTATCTATCTTGATTGCCTCCAGGATGCAAACCTAGTTTTATTACATCCTTTTTCTATTTACTGCAATTTCCTGTGGCAAGCTAACCTTCAGACATTTGAACAGAGGAGACTTCAGGCCAGACCCAGGTCTGGGCAACCCTGCTCAGTCCCTCAAGGACCAGCCCCAGATAAATGTTAGAAAATGGATGGATGGATTGATTGTTGGATGGATGTTTGTCTGCCCTTTATTTATTAAGCAGCTCGGTATGGGTTTGTGTTCTATAGCTAGTTACATTTCTTTAGATAATAATGTAAGGATGAAAGACAATGTAAATGTAAATTTTCTTTTACAAATACATTTGCTGTCTCAAATCCCAGCTCTATGCAGAGTGTGGCACAGTGGGTTATGGATGAATGGATGGTTTGTCTGGCATGTATTTATTTATTAAGCAGCTGGCTATGGATTTGTGTCCTATAGCTAGTTGTTACTTTAGATACCTTACTGATTTCAGGATGAAAGACAATCTCAATGTCAATTTTCTTTTACAAATTCATTTGCTGTCTAATGACAGAGGCCCCATTAGTTAAATACTAAAGAGCTCACGTAGTATACTCTCACAGATGCCATTTGCAAGGTGATAGGACACCCTACAACAGTGATTCAGTGGCCTAATGGATAAGGCATCAGCCTCTGGAGCTGGGGATTGTGGGTTCAAGTCCCATCTGGGTCACGAAGAATACCGTTCACAAGTTTCTCTTTACAACCTATGTTAAATGTATTTTAATAGGCGACGAACTAGTGAAGCCATTTAATAGGTAACTGGAAACTGCACTGTCTCAAAGCCCAGCTTACTGCAGAGTGGAATGTGGCACAGAAGGTTATACCAGTATGGTGCACATTAATGGGAAGATTGTTTAACCCATTTAACCCCTAATTGGGGTCTAAGGACTACACTAAATTTGTAAATGCAAATACTGCTAACATTGTACATGCATATGTGAAATCCTGGCTGAGGGGCAACATCTCTCCTGTATCATTTTATATGGGGAACAGAAAGTGGATGCAAGAGATTCTGGGAAATGGAGTCTGCTATACACTGGCTTTGAGAGTATCCCCCGCCATCCTAGGAACATTACCTGGCATTGCTCTAGAGCAGGGGTGGCCAATCTTATCCGCAAAGGACCGGTGTGTATGCAGGTTTTTGGGATAACCTGTAGGTCAACTGTTCAAACCCAGGTGTGATGACTCTTCAGCCAATCAGTCCTCTAATTAGTAATCTAATTAGGGGGTTGCAGTGAAAACCTGCATACACACCGGCCCTCTGCAGATAAGACTGGCCACCCCTGTGTTAGACTGTGGTCCGTAATTCGTCTCCTGGTCCTGGCACTTATTTTGCAAGGATCATGGGTATTAAGGTGTCCCTTTCTAGTGGGTTCCATGCCTAGCAGAGAGGGCAAACCAAGACCTCAGAAGCCTGTTGCTGTTAGGGTCAGCACCCATCCGACCCTGTCCTATTTGTTCTGTTTTGATGAGGAGGTGGCTGGCTATCCTCTTCCGTCTTTTAGTCCCTTAGCCCTAGTGTGTTTTCCCTGTTTCCCAGACTGTCCCCCATAATGTACTCGGGTGAGTGTGTGGCTCAGAAAACATTAATTCTCTGTTCGTGGGTTTGAGGCTGGTCAGGGGCCACCTGTTTATTTGTTTTTTCCAGTCCTGTTTGCTGGTGTGTATGTGGGTTTTCCCTGCAACTCTCTAATTAGATTACTAATTTGAGGACTGATTGGCTGAAGAGTCCTCACAGCTTGGTTTGAACAGCTGACTTAAAGGTTATCCCAGAAACCTACACACTTGCCCTTTGTGGATATGATTGCCCACCCCTGGTCTAACACCATGCTACGTGCTAACCCATGCAAGCAGACCTGTGGCCTGTACTACGAAGTGGGGTTACTGGCTTATCGGGGTAACTTGTCGGATTTAAGGTAGTCTGGCCAAAATGTAAGTGAACGAATATGAAGTCCATTTAGGATGTGGTACCTTAAATCCGACAAGTTACCCCGATAAGACAGTAACCCTGATTCGTAGTACAGGCCACTGCTGAGCCTGTACCTTAGCCTTTGTTCTGGCATCAGGTAACTTAGTCAAAGAAAAGAAGTAAGCCGATTTAGAGAAGTCGTCAACAATAGTAAGTACCAGTGTTACCTATGGACAGGGTTACCAAATTCGGTGAGATGAAAAAGAGGACGTGTCCGGGGATCAGAATATTAATGAGTCTTCATGTTCACTGACCAATGAGGTAGTGATTCTCTCATGAATATTAATGAATTTTCCCTAACCACCCTGTAAAATGAAAATTCACATCCGGACATATGGTAACCATACAGTTAAATCTCCTTTTACAGACTACACACAATGGACACAATATAGGTGTATATGTAGCGGTGTGAGCATTTGGGTTTTTCTCGCTCCCTATTGCTCTATTGCAGTTCTGGGGGGTGGTTCTTGGCTGTGTATAAAGTGAGTGTCTGAATTGTCAGGTATTTTGGCAGCCAGCCATAGTTGGGCAGCGGGGCTACATGGTTAATTTGCGCTTTCCCTACTGCTTTAGCAGAATTGAGTGTTTTGCGTTGAGTTTGGTGGTTCTGGTTGTAGTTACAAGGAGTTTGTTCTCCAGGTATGCCCGTTTTAATTAAGACAAGTTGGAGTTCTGTTGTGGCCTGACAATTTTATGAGTAATGTTTTCTTTTCCATAGCCGGTGGAACTGTAGGAGTAGTTCCCGTGCTGTTTTCTATGCTGTCTGTGGTGGGTAATTTTTATATTTTTTTGTGAGTTTTATGTAATGTTTAGTGTGATGTCTGACTGTGGTAATATGTTCCAGGGTTGTTCCTGGGAGCAGGACATTGCTGCTGTTTTGTTTTTATTGTTTTTGTCATGGATTTAACGACGACATACCCTGGGGATCTTCGGCATGCTTTGGCTTGTTCAGCGCTGATCAGAGTCAGTGTGGGGAGCAGTCCAGCATGGACGAGCGGTATTTGGACTGTTTTAGACCATGGGATCACTTGGGATTTGTCTTCTTTTGATCGAGTAGCATGTTACCGGCCAAAGTTTCTTTTGGATGTTTTGTATTAATTTGCTTTGTAATTAATGCTTTAGTTGGATAACTGTTTCCTTGTTTTTCTGAGTTATTCTGTTTCATGTTGTTTTGTATGTAATTTCACTTTGTCAATTGTTTTTCTTTACATGATTTGCCCTGAGACCAGGGTCTTTGATGTGTAATTTTCTGTTGCTGTATTTCATTGTTTTTTGGGGTTTAAATTTATTTGTATGTGCCTCAGACGGTATACAAGGTGATGAAGGGTGAATGTGATCTTAATCCTTTGTTGAATTTATATTTCAGGTATAGTGGCCTAGAGCCACCTTAGTTGAGTCTTCTTTTGCTGGTGGTGGTGGTCTTCACTTTGTGTTGTGTGCGTGGTGTAAGATCACCTGGCGTAGGTACACTGTGGGTGAGCGTATGTGAGCATGAGGCCAATTGGCCACTCAGAGATTCAGTCTGGGGGAGTCTCTCCTGTCTCATGATTGGTGGATGTTATGCTTTGGGCCCTTCGTTTGAATGAATTATTTCTGAGGTATAACGATTCTGTCTGGAATTCAATAAAGTCTCAATTAATCAAACCTGTGTGCTTGTGCACTATCGTGTTAATGTGAATATATCCCCAGGTGTAAGGCCTGGTTGGTGTAGTCAGCAGTGGGTCGTATTCTGGGTCTTGGTGGACGACTCCACCACAATCTGGCATAGTCGGCATGATTACTGAACCGAGGGCAGAGACGTGGTTTTGGGAATTTTTGTTTTTGTTTGTGCAGAAAACTTTTATAGGTGTGTGTATGGGAGAGACAAAACAGCAGCATGTTAGAAATTAGTAAGCTCAGAGGCATTGGTCTCTTCTGGGTGAGGGCATGCCCTTGTTTTCCTTCCACCGTACAGGATATAAGACTGGGAGTGGTTCTGGGGGTAATTTACCTCCTTCTGATATTGAGGGGTAGGTACAGCGACTGTGAGAGCTGGTAGCGCGGCTTGAGGCTGAGAATGAGGTGTTGCTGCGTGAGTGGGCCATGGATAGGTCAAATATGGCCCCTGAGCAGTTTGGTGCCCATAGTACATAGTCGGCCTACATGAAGGACCACGTGTTTAGTGGTCAGTCCGGGTTAAGTATTCAGGAATGGGTGGAAGAGTTGCAAGCCTACATCTGGGCCCATAATTTGGCCTGTATGGACCAAGCCCTTTTCATGATGGATCATTTAGAAAGGGATGCTAGGGAGGCGATCAGATACCAACCGGCTGGGGATAGGGAGAACCTGGAAAGAATTATCGCTAATCTGCAGAAGTTGTATGGGTACTCAAAGTCCTTCGTGCCTCTGCAAGGGGCATTCTTCTCTAGGCAACAGCAGGAGGGGGAGGGCTTGCAAGAGTTTTCCTTAGCTCTCCTGGGTCTTATGGAGAAGGCCATTCAAGTGGCACCAGGCATTGTGCCTAATGCTGAAATTTTGCTACATGATCAGTCTGTGGAGCATGTGAGGGATGGTGCACTGCGTTGAGAGTTAAAAATTATTCAGACGACACCAGCCGACAGCTATCCTGTTAGACCCTATGCAGACTGAGGCTATCAGATGGGAGGGAAAGGGTATGCCTGGTGTGATGAGAGGGTGAAGTTACTCGTTTCCATCTGTTAATGGAATTCAGTATGGGGTGTGCAGTGGGCCAGTTATACGTAACCCCAGTACGCCACCAACATCAGAATTAGGGGAGCTTAGAGAGCTACTGAAGCAGCAACAAGAACAGATCAAGCAGTTGACTGTGGGTTTGGCTGCCTTGCAGGGTCAAGGTGGTCATGCATCTTGGACGAGCTCAGTTATTTGCTGTAAGTGTCAGCAGACTGGCCACTATGCAAGGGAGTTTGAAGGGGAAAGAGTTCCCCTTGATACTGCCCCCATGGCTAGGGAAGCTATATCAAGGGCTGCTAGGCTACCATACAATGACTGCCTGCTGTACAGCCAAGCCACAGTGCAGTAGGAGTGTGTGAGGGCTCAGGGACTACCAACACAGAGGGAGGTCTCATGCCAATCCTACCATTAGTTGCAGCTTCATGTGGCTGATTATTCCGTATGTGGGTTACCTGGAGCTGGATGTCGAGCTATATGGTGAGGTCATCCCCCGTTGTAGGATGTTAGCCATGAAGGACCCCCTAGATGATTCATCCCCCCAGGTCCTTGGTGTGTTGGGGACGAATAGAATTAGTCAGTGCTACCAGGTACTGTTTGGGGATTGTGGGCCTGATTTGTTTAGTCAGCGAGCAGTATCAGGGTCCCATAGTCAGGTGGTGCAGACACTGCGGCAGTGCCATGAGGCATCCACTCAGTCTGTCCATCCTCAGTCAGGTAAGGTAGGGGTAGGAGGGAAAAGGTGCCTGTCATGTTCCTGGAGGCGCCGTGAAGTTGGTCGTTGCAGTGTGCTCGGCCCAGTTTGCTGATTGATTGGTGCTTTATGAACCCCCCATGCCAGTTAACCGACTGGATTGTTGGCTTCTGTTTCTTTAGTGCAGGTTTCTAGGAGCACATATGTCCTTGTTGTACATGTAGGGAGTGCGGATGTTCTGCTTTTTCCCCGGACTTATCTTGGCAGTGTGAGCTTGATGCATATGGCTAATCTGCCCCCAGGTATCACGGAGGTGACCGGTGAAGTGGCAGCAGTTGTTATGTAGACTGCTTCTGTGTCTGTGCCTGTTCGTATTGACCTGTTGGAGTTGCCAGGGTTTTCAGAGGAAGAGCAGGGTCTTGTTGTGTCATTATGAGTCTGTTTTTGCCATGCATGATGGGGACTTGGGGTGCACTAATTTAGTTACACACAGCATCCATTTGGTGGATGAGGTCCCTATAAGGCAGTGGTATTGTCGCATCTCACCTTCCGATTATGAGGCTGTTAAGACATTCATCAGCCGTTGGATGCAGAGGTTATACGGGAGAATAATAGCCCGTATGCCTCCCTGATTGTGCTGGTTAAAAAGATGGATGGTAGTCTGCAATTGTGTGTGGATTACCACCTCCTTAACGCAATTATGTGTAAGGATGCTTTTCCTCTTCCTCAGATTGAGGAATCTTTGGATGCCTTGATGGGATCCCGGCAGTTTTCCAGCTTAGATCTAGCCGGTGGCTACAATCAGGTGCCAGTGGCAGAGGGTGACAGGGCAAAGACCATGTTCTGCATTCTATTTGGTCTATTTGAGTAGAACCAGATGCCTTTTGGTCTGTGTAACGCACCAAATACCTTTCAGCGCTTAATGGAGCAATTGTTTGAGGATCACCAATGCCAGTCACTGTTGTTGTATCTGGAGGATACTGTTAGTGGATCTACATGATTGTAGCAGGAGGGGCAGGCACAAGATTCAGGACGTGTGGAGTTCGAAGCTGTATAAGATGCTGAGGGTCCCTAATGAAGGGGGCACAATATATATAATAGCCCCAGTGGAGCATCCTACCATAGAATGGAGTAGGTCCATCGGAGCCTTTTGAAGGCTTGGGTACCCACACAACCTATGACAGGTATCCCAGGTGAGGCCCCTCTGGAGGAACTGACACCACCTCCCCCAGAAGAGGAACTGGGGGAAGGGGTGTGGTAGTGTAGTGTGTGTGGGTGGTCAAGCCCTACTTAGCTACTCTGGAGTCAGTACAAGAGGTTGTAGCGGGGTCTTCTACCGTAACTACTAGTTCATCAGGAGTATACAGAGTCGGCCCCTCCATGCAGTTTGGTACTGCTACTGAGTCATGTCCTGATGAGGTGGTGGCATGGAGGACCACTCGGGCCATGGCTAGGCAAAATTCTAATATTCATCATTTGCCCCAACCTGTGAGGCACCCAGTAAGTGATGCGGTTGGCTAGTCGGCACCTACCTCAGATTCTGTAGTGAGGTTATTTCGGCCATGGAGTTAGGTCACTTGGTAGCTAATTGTGTCCATTGTCTGGGTAATGATGCAAAAGGTGGGGGATGGAATATAGTGGCGTGAGCAGTTAGGTTTTTCTCACGCCCTTTTGCTCTATAACAGTTCGAGGGGGCGGTGCTTGGCTGTCTATAAAGTGAGTACCTAGGAAGGAATGACATCTGAATTGTTGGGAATTTTGGCAGCCAGCCGAAGTTGGGCAGCGGTGCTGCATGGTTAATTTGTGGTTTACATACTGCTTTAGTAGAATCGAGCATTTTGCATCGGGTCTGATTTTTTGGGTGACACGTAGTTATAAGGAGTTTATTCTCCTGGTAAGCCCATTTTAATTAAGACTAGTTGGAGTTCTGCTGGGGCCGGATGATTTTATGAGTAATGTTATCTCTTCCATAGCTGGCAGAACCATAGGAGCAGTTCATATGCTGTCTTCTGTCTGTGGTGAGTAATTTTTGTGGATTTTTTGTGGACTGTGGATTCCCTCTTCTACCGTTGGTCTGCCCAAACCTTCCACTCCTGTGCCTGAGGCTCATCTCCCCACTGCTTCGCCTGCACTCGAGGCGCAACCCCCGGCTGCACCCATGGTGCAGGCGCACCCCCCAATCCCTGTTCCCGTGACTCCTGCTCCTGTTCCCACTCCAGACCCCGAGGAAGAGGAGGACCTTGAGTGGGATCCCTTGGGGACCACCCTAACACCAGCCCCAAGGACCACTCTCAGAGCAACACCTCGACGTCCACGCCGTCTCAGATCCCGGCCAGGTCCCCATCTCTCAGTATCCCACAGAGGGAGAGGCCACTTACGCTGGGGTCGGGTCCCACCCAACCTGCCCCCACGGTCACCTGTGGGTCCCCTTACTCCCGTTTGTCAGTTGCCTGCGGGCCCCCTTGCTCCCACTTGTCACTCACCTGTGGTCCCTCCTGCGATGGCTCGTCACTCGCCTGCGGTCTCTCCTGTGATGGCTTGTCGCTCACCAGCACCTTCGCTGGTTATTGCTGCACAGTCGCTTGCTGCAGCTCCAGCTCCCTCCTCACCTCCTCCGGCAGTCCCTCCTGCTCCCTCTCGCCCCCTCCGGCAATCCCTCCTCACCTCCTCTGACGGTCCCTCCGGCTCCTACCGCGTAGTTATGTGGGGTTCCTACTGATCCTGCCTCATGGTCATGGAGAATGACCTTCGACTCCCTGGCTCCCCCCGTCTTTTGCATCTTTGCCCCCTGGTTTCATTTTCCCTGTCTGTGTGCCCCCTGTGTTTGCTCCCCGTCTGTCTGTTCTGCCTTTGTTCCCTCCCAGTCCCTTCACTCCCCCGGTTGGTGTACCCCCTATTGGTTTGGTTCCTCCAGAAGACAAATCGCTGAACTGCTCCCCAAACTGACTCTGTCTTGCAAACCCAGTATGCTGATACTGAGTAGCTGCCATATATAAAAAATTGGTGCCTGTTCCTTCATTTGGTACTCCACTGTAACTTGCAATATTGGATCATAAGGGTTGCAGCACTAAACAGAACACAGACTGCCACATATTCCTGGATATCTTCCTTGGTGGGCCACCCAAACTGCTGCAAGATTAGGGAGGTTGTTTTCATGAACCACAGGGGCAGACTGGCAACAAA